AAGAAAAAATATATGAAAAAACAAGCAAGCAAGTGAAATCTTGACTTAATTTTGTGGTTGATATTTGATAGGCCAAGTTGGAGTTGAAGGATGTTGATGGGCCAATAAAGTCTAGCAGTAGTAACTATTGAGATCAGTTTAGATAAAATTTTAATTACTTTAGTCAATACAGCCTCCTCAATTGTGCAATTTTTAACATAAAATTTTAGGTGTGTACTAAGAGATAGAACATGTGAGAGAGAAGTATAAAAGGAAAAAGAAATCAACAGCATAAATAACGCACACAAAGGGTGCGTGGCGTGCACACGTTTGACTAGGTACTCCTGGTGCTCCTCATGCATATCAGGGAGCTGCTTTGTTTACTGACGAACCCACTATGCCTGCAAAAACAAATGTGCTTGCAGAAGCACCTTGAATACTCTCTCTCTCTCTCTTCCCTCTCCATATTCCCTCTCTCTCATCCACATAAGCCTTGAAACCTAAGCCTTGAAACCTACAAAAACCATCTAAAATCCCCTTATTGGGGATGCTCTAACACAGAATAGGTTGTGTTAGTTAATCCCCTATTGGGATGCTCTAATATAGAATAGGTTGTGCCTATATATATATATATATATATATATATATATATATATATATATATATATATATATAATTGGTTTCTCTTTGTAATCATTTGCTAATTATATATGGGTCTTACCTAAAGCACATTTTTAGATAGCAATTGCAGATTTTTCTGTAAATCAAATATATTTATAATAGTAATAAATTGTGATGACCATATTAATCATTATGCTAATCACTCATTTCACTTGCGAAAGTTAAAATAATGTTATTAGAGTCCCTTCGCCATCTTGTTCTTGAGGCAATATTTTTGCACTTCAAACTGGTAAAAGTGTTTTTTTTTTTTTTTTTTTTTTTTTTTTTTTTTTTTTTTAACTTTGCTGTTGCCTTCAAAATTTCAATTTCTATTCTTAAAAATTTGAGTTTATTTTTATTGTACTCATCATTCTCTTGTGACGTACGAATGTATCAAAATTAATTTTAATATTTTTCAATACCAGTTTATAAGTAATAGGGAATTGAAAATAATTTATGAATGGTCCCAACTTCTCTTGTGTAACGTTCTAATTGCTATAACTGAAGTAACATGGTACATGTGAACGAACTACGTGCGTGCGCCCAAAGAAATGAAGTTGACTCCATAAATAATATAATTGGAAAAATCAACTTTTAATCACTCAATTATTACTCTTTATAAAATTTAATTCTTTTTTTTTTTTTGAATAAATTTGATTCTCCATTATTCAAGATTTCAAGGTGTTATTAATTTACTTCTTCAGTGCTCTCAAACTCTATTAATATAAATAGAGGGTTTATATATAAACCAAGAACAAATTTGAGCATTTATGTATTAACAAATATTATATTTCTGGTATTATACCAAGAAAGATTGAATTAGTAATTCTCTGAATAATGTTCAAATTAAAAGATATGGATCAAATTCATAAAATGCGTACAAGGGACCATAAGTGCATTTTATCCTAATATAATTAATCCTCATTATTTTATCGAAAAAATAGTATTTTTTTAGTCCCTCATTAATATGACCAAAACATAGAATTAGTCATTCAATTATTTGAAGTGTATATTTAGTCCATTAATTATTGTCAAAGTTGATAATTTAGTCTCTTAGAGGCTATTTTTACCACCAATATATCACTTAATAAAGTGACCAATTTGGTCTCTTATTAGGAACTAAATCCGCCCCTTTACAGGGCGTTTGGTTGGAGGGATTTTAAATTCCCTTCCCACTTAATTCCAAAGTCCATTTAATTCCGTAGTTTGGTTGAAGGGAATTGCAATTCCCCAATTTTCATGGAATTAAAATCCCATGCCCCCCCTGGGATTTTAATTCCTGGGAAAAAAAGATAGTGATGAGTCAAAATTACCCCTTCATTTTTTAACCTAAAATTAATGTCTAACAACAATAATGGATATTTTTGACTTTATACTACTTATTCCCTTTCAATTCCCATGTATACCAAACATTAGAATTGAAATTCCCAGTAATTCTATTTCTGTCAACCAAACACTGGAATTTAAACTTCCACTTTATTCCCAGTAATTCAACTCCCATGGAATTATAATTCCTTTCTCACATAATTCCTCCCCTCCAACCAAACGCCCTGTGAATGTAAATGAAGAACTAAATCTATACGTTGCTCATAATTGGAAGACATGAAGTGTCATTTTCCCTTATTTTACTTATAATAAATTGAAATAATAATAATAATAATAATAATAATAATAATGCAGGTATCAGCAGCAAGGGTGTTGCAAGAGACATGTAGTTACATAAGGAGTTTACATAGAGAGGTTGATGGGTTAAGTGACAACTTGTCTCAGCTACTGGCTACCACAGACACTTCTCAAGCAGCAGTAATTAGAAGCCTACTTATGCAATAATAATATAATTGCATTTTCAATTTCCTAGCTTGTTGTATTGTTATTATGTATTTTCCTTTTTGTATGCTAAGCTAGGGTTTTGCTTGTCATTAATTAGAAAATTTATCCTTAATGTACGTCCTTCAGCTTAATCCTATCAAGTTATTGTTTAGCAATTAAGAACTCAAGCAATTCAATGGCACATTGCACAATTGATAATGGATCGAATTTGACCATTGATCTCTAACTTTTAATAGACCAGATCTGTCCACACAGATTCATGAGAAGGGATATACTCATTTGATCATTCAATTTCTCTCTCTCTCTCTCTCTCTCTCTCTCTATATATATATATATATATATATATATATATATAGACACACTAAGTTGAAGGAATGAGTTAATAATCAATTTAAATTAGTTCTTGAGTATAGTGATTTTTCTCGATTTAGTACGTCCTAAACGTCTGTTTGTGCTTAATTGGGTCCTCAACTTCAATGATTTTTCCTAATTCAATCCTCGGCTAAGATCAAGAACAAAATCCAGAAAAACCTCTATAGTTAAGGACTAAATTGATATTAACCACTAGAGTCGATGACCAATTTGGGTAAAATAACTATAGTGAAAATTAAATTGGGTATTAATATAGATGAGAAATTACCAAACTACATTTGCATATGACTCAATTAAGAAAAATTATCGAAGTCGAAAACTCAATTAAGTACAAAAAGGACGTTTAGTTATAGTCAATAACTAAATTGGGTATTAAATAATACAATTGAGTTAAAAACAAAACAAAACAAAACTCCAATTAGGTGGTAAATCAATATAATTGTGTACTTTGATCCTAAAATTACCTATTTGTGACATAAGGATGGTTTACTCTCTTTGTGGTTAAAAGTCACAAAGGGAGATTTACCTAGTACAAACCTTTAAATAGTGGTTACAAATTTTCCTCGACATCCAAAATATATAGATAGCTAATTGCATTTTTTTTTTTGTCATTTTAGGATAACCTAATAAGAACTTATTTCAGTACCTATCAAATTCACTATTCATTTGACTTGAGAGGCTAACACTTCTAGTTTTCCTTTAATCTAACATCATGAATCCATATTTTCAATATAATTATTAGGTATATACTTAATGCTTCTTTATTATTTTTTTTCCATTCGTCATTCTTGTCAAATGTAAATTTAAAAAAAAAATAAAAATTTTATAATATTTTGCCCGTCATTCTTGTCAAATGTAAATTTTTAAAAAAATTTTATAATATTTTGCCCGAAACGTAAGTTTCAACTTTCAGCCATTGGCACATGACATGCAAATAAAAAATGTAATTATACTATATATTATACTGTATATATGGCATACATAAATAATTAATATTAATAACTCACTAACTCATCATCACTAGTTTATAATATTTATGATCGTGTTCAGACTCCTAAGAGAGCAATATGTATGGGGATTAACAAAAATGAGATAGGGTTGGAAAGACCACCACCATATATAACATATTATAATATATAAATATGAATGGGCAATCCAACTAATTGAGATTAGAGGTGTAAACGAGTCGAGCCGAGCTCGAGCCTGGGTAGGCTTGAGCTCGTGCTCGTTAATGGAGGCTCAGCTCGAGTTCGAATTCGAGCTCGATCGAGTTCGAGAACTAATGCTCGAATTCGAGCTCGGTAATTTTCGGGCTGCTCGAGCTCGGCTCGAGAAGCTCGATTGTTTGAGTTCGAACTCGAGCTCGATCTTGAGCTCGAGTTTGAGCTCGATTTTGACATTGAATTTGACATATTTAATATTTTTGGTTTAAAATTCAAACTACTTTGTTTTATCCATACATAAATAATAGAAATCTTTTAGGAATTTTGAGTTTAAAATTCTAAATTCTAATTGTTATTTTTATATATTATTATATTATATTATATATTATATTATTATTATATATATTATATATTATATATTATATGGCTCGTGAGCGGCTCGACGAGCCACGAACCTAAAATATTTAGGCTCGGCTCGAGCTCGATAATGACCGAGCTCGAGCCGAGCTTTGACCGAGCCGCTCGCGAGCTGCTCGGCTCATTTACACCCCTAATTGAGATCACATGCTTCAATTTGATACTCCATACCCTATGATAGTTAAAAAGAGACTAGCATAGTTAGCTTAACAGTTAATTTTGACTTATTTAACTACTTGACTTGGTTAAGACAAATTATATCATGGACCAATAATCATGGTTTACAATGCAATATGAACCTTAGTCCATGGTATAACAATTGCTTGGTTAATTAGCTTTTGATAACATTTGTTAGCGAATTAGCTAACAGCTATTTACCAAACACCCTAATGCTCTACACCCGTCCAAAAGGTAAGTAATTAACTTGCACACATGAGGGGCCGTGTTGGCATGACAAAGAAAAAAAAGGCTTTACGAAAGGTTTTTGTAACCCTCCTACTTGCAACTCAAGAATCATAGATGTTAGATACACAATATAAAGAAATTGTAGTCTGATAATATATAGATCTGAAAATTTATTTCTGTTCATAAAGGATACATCAAAATAGTGTTCCCATAACATAGAAGCATATGAACTCACATGCTACATACTGCCCTGAAAACTGAAAGAACAGACAATATATATATTATTATTAACTACCCCTCCCTACCTAACACTCTAACAACTTTAAATTAAACCTGCATATATGCTTTAATGTCTAGTAGTGTGGGCAGTGAACCTATAAAGCATGACATGTTGATAAGTCTCCCCTTGGTTCACAATTTGTGAGGGGAAATTTGGGTGATTCACAGAATCTGGAAAACCTTGTGTTTCCAAGCAGAATCCACCATATTTTCTGTACACAAACCCCTCTTTCCCCCGCGTCTCGTTCAACATATTACTCGTGTAAAATTGTACCCCGGGCTTATTAGTCCACAGCTCCATCTTTCTCCCCGATTTGTGCTCTTGCACCACCGCCGCCTTGTGCAGGTGCCGTAGTCCATTATGATCTCTCCCGCCATCCAACACGTAGTTGATGTCGTATCCCCCGGGGACTTGGCTCAGCCTGCTCCCGACTTTGCGGGGCTGCAGGAAGTCGTATGCTGTCCCTTTGACCGCTCTGATTTCACCTGTTGGCACGAGGTTGTCCTTCACGGGGGTGATCCCGGACCCGAAGATCTGGATGGTGTGTGAGAGAATGTTGTGAGTGCTGTTATGGCCAGCAAGGTTCCAGTAGGTGTGTGAGGCTAAATTCACAGGCGTTGCCTTGTTCAGAGCCTTGCCTTTCATTCTGATTGCTAGCCTGTTTCTCCCAATTATCATGTATGTCACACTCACATGAAGATCACCCGGAAATCCTGCATAAACACACGCCAAAAGTTATAGCTAGCTATAGCTATTCCTTATATAGAAGGTTGGGTCACTTGGACAATTCCACCTTTCTATGTTCACAATTACTGAACTCTATGTTCATAAATCACAATTATGAACACTTGGCCCAACAGGCCCCCGCCCAACAATCCCCTAGCCAACAGGTGATAGACTTGGTCCTTTATCAGCCTCCGATCCGCTCAAAACACACACAAGACAAGGTTGCTAGCATCCACCTAACAATACCTAGCGTGGGGGGGGGGGGGGTCCTTAACCACTGGGTGTGGACTTGGCATCTCCCCAACAATCCCTTGGATTTGGCCATCTCCCCAACAATCCCTTGGTCACCAGGTGACTGAATTTGGCCCTTTACTCGCCTTTGCGCCAACACATAAATCTTGACCCGTCTCTGCCTAACAATCCCTTAGCCACTGAGTGTTGGACTTGGCCATCTCCCCAATAATCCCTTAGTCACCAGGTAACTGGATTTGGCCCTTTACCCGCCTTTGCGCCAACACACAAAGTTTGACCCTTAAAACCTCTGCCCAACAATCCCCTAGTCACTAGGTGTGGTGGACTTGACCCTTTATGGTCTTTGCCCAACACACGACAAGATAGATAAAGCATTAATTAAAGCATGCATATATGCAGCTACCTTGTTCTCCATCATGGCTGTCGTAGGAGAGCGAAAGGTGACGGTCCTTTACGTAGTCTTCCACTTTCCATATAACATCACTAAACCCTATGTCACCTCCTGAATTGGGACATACAGTTTAACTATATCAGACTACAACAATATATACACAGTAACAGATCATCTTATCTGCAGAATTGGAAGAAAGAAAGAAAGAAAGAAAGAAAGAGAGCATATATACATACCATGGAGGGTGTTACCATGATCATTTGCAGGTAATTTGTACTGGATGCCATTCAAAGTGAATCTAGCCCCCCCTATTCTATTAGCAACGCGCCCAATCAAGCCACCAAAGTACGTAGTATCATTCTGGTAAACATTTTAATTAATAAACAATCAATTTCCATACACAAATCTTGGCCTACCTACCCTTCTTCTGGATTATTGGATAATTGTCACACTAACCCAGTCTTTATACTGGAATTTTCATTCTCATATCTATGGTGATTCATGTATTTGTGATTGGGGATATATGTAAATGCATCTTAAATTTTAATAAGCTAAAGCCATTGTGTGATTCAATTCTTACTTCAGGAAGATCCTACATTGATCAAACTCTTACCACTACACTACTTTCCCCACCCATCCCTACCAATAGGGTCAGGTGAACTTTTTCAAAAACCCACTCTACCCCAATGGGTGCTGGTGCATGCCCACCATTCATGCATGGTGGGTCGAGTAAGATTCTAAATTTCCTACTATCACTCAAAAACATCTGATTCATATAAGGTGGATTCAGGTGAATATCCACGGGACAAATTGAAAGACACACCACCTACTTTCTCCACCCGATACCAGGTGAACTTTTTCAAAACCCACCCTACCTCAATGGGTGCAGGTGCCCACCATTCATGCATGGTGGGTCAAGTGAGATTCTAAATTTAATAGAGGTTTAAGTTTTTAGGACTCGATCTCTACCCACCACCTACTATCACTCAAAAGCATCTGGTCCATACAGGGTGGATTCAGGTGAATATTCACGAGGCAAATTGAAAGACTCTATTTAGGCATCTGCCCATTTAATCCCTTAATCCCAAAGACACATATGCCACTATGTACAACTAACATTAATGGTCACGTATTCCTCAGACAAAAACAAGACAAATGCAAGTTGTTTTGTGCTAAAGAAATTATTGGAGATCGATTATCACATGCCCGCCCGCCACTTGCATTGCACCGTCAGATTGGCACTAACCTTGTACTCATCAATGGAGCCAAACCCCAGAACCACGTCATCCAACTTTCCTATCAAAACCCAGACAGAGAGTAGAGAACAAGAATCAAACAAAAATACAGAAAAATTATTAATTAGTATTTAAAGTGAAACAGACCATTTTGATCAGGGATGATGACAGAGAGAACAGTGGCACCATAGTTGGTGATCTTCACAGAAAAGTCACCCTTCTTCAACTCAAATATCCCCACTTTCTCACTTGCTCTACACAAGTTCCCAAACAGAGAAACAACTACAACAAATACACACAATAAAGATGATTTCTCCATTATTATTTTTTATATATAAGCAGAGCTATATATTTAGCAATAATGCATATGATCGAGTGTGAGTGAACAAGGTAGCTTATATATAAATATATGTTTGTATGTGTAAGTATACACACCCCACCGTTTGAAAGTATATTGGGAAATCCGTGATTTTAGTGATCTGTTGAGTATTAGAGATGTGATAAAATTAATACTCTGTAAATTTTAAGATATAGTTAATACCCACTATAGTTTTACTCAATTTAATTAGTTTTAAATAATTTCTTTTTTATTCAATTTAGTCATCGATTTTGATGGTTTTATACAATTTATTTAATTCTTTGTTAAAAATCTGTCTCATCCTTCATTTAGAATGATTCTTTCTTCTTCCCTTTATTAACATCCATGTAAAAATACAGATTTTGTACACATGTCAACTTAAGCCCTAAAGAAATAAATAATTGCCTACAATTTTTTTTTTTAAATTTAGGGTTGGAGTTGATTTGCCTACAACTATTTACAAATTATGTTCTTATTAAGAATTTCAACCCGTTAATCTTAACATGTTGTGTCCATGTTTAGTCAGTCTTATGGTGTTCGTGTCTTATCCTGTTCAAATAACAAAAATACAGTCAAAATGGTCGATTTCACCTTTTATAACAAGATATAATTAACCCTTTAAATCGGTAGTGGTAGATTATCAAAAATAAACAAATTACAGATAATTCATATCGCGTAAACATCGTTCAAATATTCAACCAGCAAACTAAAGCTATGAAATTTGTTCTGCAAAATGGGGAAGAACATACACCACATAAAATACAAAATTCCACAGGCCGGTATATATACAATAGTGGATGCCGAGTTGAACAAGCTGATGTAAATGTGGAGATCAGAGTATCATGAGAGGTTAATGGATGGCTGAGCCGCTGTTGCAACCTTTATAAACACATCCTCTAAGGTTGTATCTGCTAGGCCCCATGCATGAACTGTAAATCTTTTCTTGGCAATCTCAACCGCACGGAAAACATCTGCAATGTTTACCTCGTGCTTTGGCAGCTCAAACTTCTGGGTGCCAGAGATGTGGTAGATCCTGTGGGAATTTGGGGACAGATTCTGCACCATGCTCTCTACTTCTGCATCGTGATCTGAAGATGTTGTCATGGTGAATACGTACGACCCTCCATACCTTCCCTTCAACTATTACACCAACAAAATTGCACAATATCAGTCATTTTCACAGTGCATTTTTGGTTTCTTTTCCTTGATAAATGTTAGCAAATGAAAAACTTCAAAACTTTGTGTTGGGCGGAGGCCGGTAAGGGCCAAGTCCAACACCATGTGACTAGAGAGGTTATTGGGAGGAGTTCGGTAAAGGGTCCAAGTCCAGCACTCTGACTCTTGAAAATGTGATAACAGTCTATAAAGAAATAAAGTTGCACCTTCACTACAGGCTATAGTTTTTTGCATAGTGGTAAGCCCTTGATCCCAGAGCATCCTCAATAGATGGAGATTTTAGTTGGCAAAGATGATTAGGAGTGAGAACATGGGAGAGAGAAGGGAAAGGAGGGAAAAAAAAAAAAAACAGAAAACAAAAGTAACAGATCTAACGCGCCCAGCAGTCGCGTGCATCAGTTGCGCGTAACTGATGGAAAGTCTTGGTTTTTTGTCCCTGGAAAGTCGGTTTTTTGTGGGTCCCACAAAAAACCAAGTCTGTGCAAGAGGAACCAAGTCTTCTCTCTCTAACTTTCTCTCTTCCACATGGATGTAAAAGCTGCAAAAATCATCCAAAATCCCCCTATTGGGATTTGGGGATGTTCTAACAAGTGGTATTAGAGCCAGTCAGGTCATGAGATTTATGATAGTGGTCTATAAGGAAATAAAGTAAACTATAGTTCTTGGCATAGTGGTAAGCGCTTGATCCTAAAACTTTGAAAATGGAATAGATGCTTCGAGTTACCTCCTTAGGATTTCCTATACACTGCAGGCTTCCATCCACAAAGATACCTAACCGATCGCATAAATGCTCTGCCTCTTCCATTGAGTGCGCTGCAATAATGAAAATCATTCAACATTATCTGCATTGGATTAAGGAACACTTTACAAAGATTTGGAATTTGGATATATGGAGGATCATATATTACTAGTGAGAATTATTGCTCTATCTTGCTTTGCACGTTTGACAACATTCCACAAGTTGTTTCTTGAAGCTGGGTCCAGTCCAGTACTAGGCTCATCCATATAGACAACCTTGCAAAAGTATCATCAAATAGTTGTCATCGTTGTTGAAAATCAAAGGGTTATGGTTATCTATAGGATTGTCTATCAGTTTATGAATAAGTGTTTACAGTTAAGTGTCTGTGTATATATATGTACTATAATTCTTTATTAGAAACAGAGAATATAGAAACATATTTGTAACCTTTCAGCATTTATACATTTTCTCATTTTGTGATTTCTTCATTCTTGCTTCCACCTAATTGGCGGGTGGTTGTTATTCTCCACCCGCCAGGCCATTCCATCTTTCAAATTCAACAATGGTAAAGGCACAAGGACATATAACCAAATATCTTCTCATGTACAAGGACTTACTTTGGGATCTCCAATCAATGAAATGGCAACACTAAGCCTCCTCTTCATTCCTCCACTATAATGTCCAGCTTGCTTGTCTGCAACCCCTCCATTATATAGGTTTACACTCTTAAGAGACTCTTCAACTGCCTGGAGATCCCACAGAATTTTGAGTAAATGCAATTCAAAACAATGTGATGCTGATTGAAATGAAAGTTCTCAAAGCATTCTGATCTCACACAAACGCATTTCCACAAATTAAAAGATAAATAAGCCTCTGAAACAGTTCTGAATAAATCCACACTAGAATGAGCTTAAGAGAGCAAGATAACCAGAGTAGACAATCAGATTATAATTTTTCACAATTTGTATTTTCTATATCCCATATCAACATATTTTCTTAGAACTTAATTAGCTATAACTTGTGATAAAGTGCACATATCAGACAACTACAAGATGATAGGAATCAAAAGAAAAAACAGACACACATCTGCACACTAGTGTAAAGTTATCTGTCCACTTCAGCAGCCTATTGCCATTTTGGTTGTGTTAGTCTACACCAAATGAAATTATCTTATAGTCCAAATTGGTTATAACTTCTCAATCGATAATTTCGCAATTTAAAGCAAGGGATTCAACTTACTCTTGTTAAGTCTGCTCCTTTCAAATTTTTAAGCCGTCCATAGAAAAGTAAGTGCTCCCTTCCTGTTAATGTTTCCCAAAGTAGGCTGAAAGCAGATTGCAAAAATGACAATGAACACGATCAAATATCTGGATGTACATTTTCTGGTCTTTCTTTATCCTCCCTTTAACCACAGGGGTTTGGAGCTAATTCAATTTCTACTTTTAAGTGAGAGAACAGCAATGCTTACTCATGCTGAGGACACACTCCCATGCTGGTATATATTTTGTCCATATCTGTTCGTATATCCATACCCTGAACATACGCAGTACCAGAGCTTGGCTTTATGAGACCAATCATCTGTTCGCATTGACATGTCAGAAAAAAAATCAGTTTGTTCAGAGGAAGATTATATACAGCAACTTCAAGAAATACCGCCCCCCCCCCCCCCCCCCCCCAAAAAAAAAAAAAAAAGAAAAAAGAAAAAAGAAGAAACAAACTATGGATCTTCTCCTCTTTATGACCTCATTACGACATTACTAGAATGTTTCTAAGAAAGAGAACATCATTAAACTGACCATATTAATAAAAGAAGTTTTCCCAGCACCATTGGGCCCAAGCATACCAAAGCATTCCCCCTGAGGCAAAGCAAGTGACAACCCTCTCACTGCAAATTTTTCAGGGTTTCCATCTCTTCCTGGATAAACTTTTTTTATGTTGTCACAGATTATAGCTTGACTTGTTCTTGATTCAACCAGCAAAGTCTCAACTCTATCCCTCTGTGGAAAGAGATCACTGTCGGTTAATTATTTGGAGAGTACAAGAAAGATAGTAGGAAAAAGTATATGAAAGCAAACTACAACTAACTCAAGGTGAGCAATCCTCAACCTTCATATTTGTTTTATGAAACAGCAGGTAGTAAGATGGATAATAAGTTAGAAGTATCTAGTTTAATGTTCATACATTTTAGTAATAATAATTCAACATTCTACCAGGGAAACATAAGTTTTGACACAAGGTTAATCAAATATGTTACTCCATATCTTAAATAAAATGAACTTACCTCATGGACAACATCAGGTTTCTCCATCTCAATATAGATTTTAGACCCCTGCCTCCGTAAGCTAGGTCTTCGGAAGGATGATGAGTGCCTATTCTGGAAATTTCGAAGGAAAAAGAGAGGACTTTTCCCAGATGACATGATTTGATCTGTGTAATAAGCAAAGAAGAGAACCAGCAACCATTCCACAAACATGATAATTAAGACCTCTGTCATCCCATTATCGCCATCTTTCAAATTTTTCCATAGCATTCCATCACTTCCAATATAATTTCCAGTGAAAGAATATTGTGAAAACTCATATAATCCACGATAAAGAGAAAATCCAGGATACAACTCCATAACAATAATCCAGCCTCCTGCAATATAACAACGTTCAAAGTGGGAGCAAGAGTCAATTACTATAGGCCCTTCTATGACTTCTTTAGAATTAAAAGAAATTGGACTATTGAAGCAACAAAAAAAAAAAAAAAAAAAAAAAATTGCTAGTAATTACAGCAGCTAGCAAACCACATAAATATAAAAACTTTAAGCAAACCAAATTATAATGACTTCCAGCCCCTTAATGCAGTCAGATAACCAAGTCCCACTTTGACAAAAGCTGGACAAATAAGATTTCCTGGAATAGAATATGGCAAATATTTATTTGAGATGTTTGGAAACTTTTACTTTTGCACTTTACCTTTTGTTACACAACAAAAATATCATTGTTAGCTGTTTATTCTGTCCCTTTCTGAGAAGGCTATATTAGGAAAATAACCCTGAAAACTTG